ATACAAGAATTACCTATAACTCATGTTTTACATGAAAAATTTATTTTAAATAAAGAGAGCATGTGATAGAGCTAGAACATGGGCCAGTACCAGGGTAACATTCTAAACAAATGAAAAGAGTGATGAAGAGAAGAATCTTAAGATAAAAAATCAGATAAGACATTGTTACCACATAACGTTGATTCAGACCTATCTTCAGGTCCAATGACCATAAGACTCATTCTCTGTGTTCAATGTTACTTATTAGTATTCATAAGAGATTTCTGATTTAAAACCCCAAAGTGTATTTGATTTATCAATCCGGACCCTGGGGGGAGTTCATTTATAGTGTTCTCAAATTGTTTACATTGGCATTCATCTTAGTTCCTCAGGTTCACTGTTGTTTCGCTACTTGTTTCTCTCAAGCTGTATTTAATATGTCCTTTTGTTAAAATATTTCATTCAGAAAGTATCATGAATATGAGGACATCGTATTTTTACATCCCCCCCAAACTGTTTATCATTGACTTCTCCTTATAAGCCGAGTTTTTATGATGTTATTATCATAAACGGGGATTTTTTTCACATAATCTACAGTTCTATAAGATGATATTTTACAAAAGTAAAAAGTTTTTTGCCTTTAAAGAACTCATAATTCAAATGAGGAGACAAGTCAGGAATAGCACATAATAAACTCTAATACTTCAATACATTAGGGATCTTGTTGTTTCACCAGTGTGGCAGCTCCTTCCGCAGATAAAAACTGCAACCCCTTGATACCGAAATACTGTGGCCAAAACCCCTTGATACCTCCATGATTTACTCTGGCCAAAAAAAAATCATTATCTTGTAGCAAGACTAATCTTCCTTATATATAGTCATGTCGGAACCTTTCCATGGTTTCCTATATCCTACCCATGGAAGTTAAAACTCTATCTGGCATTCAAGCACCTCTACATTTTTGGCACCTTCCTTCTTTCTTCCTATTCCACCACTCAACACAATCTTGGCTCCAGCCAGAGTAGACTTCTCTTCAGCCCTTGCTTATATTGTATCTTATACCACGAACAGCTTGCCTCTACATCTTCACATGTGGACAGAATTCCTACCCATCCTTTAAAAATCAACTAAAATACTATCTTCTCTTAAAAGTCTTACCTCTTCTTCCTAGTGAGTCTACTCCCATCCCCCAAACACCCTACAGTACTTCATATCATATCATAACTTTTCTGTTCCTTCTATGTATATACTTGTTTATTAGATCTTTGATTTCATTTAGATAAGGAACTCTAGATGATAAAGGGTAAAGGGCACACACATACTCAGTATATGTCAGCAGTGGGACTCGAATCCAGATATTCCTGACTGAGGCCAGCTGTCTATTGATTGTAATACAGCTATATTATGGTGAGGTGTGGCGTGTGTGTCTTGGGGGCGGGGAGGGGGAGGGACGATGTATGTTATCCACTCTAAGTTCCAGGAGGACAGAAACTCTGTCTTAATTAATCTTTGTATCTTTCCCAACACAGCACTTTGCAAATGTTTATTGAACTGAAATGAAACCTCTGGTGATGAATCTCTCTGAACTTAAATAGACTTATTCCCCATACTCCCAACAAATTCTGTCCTTGGGCCAGTGTACTGTGCTTTTCCGACGTGATAGGTTCTGCAAGACTTGACACATCCTTTAAGAACACATGATGAGGCATTAGAGTAGGATTTCAATGGAGGAAACAACCATCATCCATTTATATGTCAAATAATTATATATAGAAGTGTACAAACAATAGTCACAGTCCTAGAGGATCAAGGTGGTGGTAAGTGTTTAGGATTAACAGGATAAAGCTTTGTTTATTTGAAACTAGCTTCATGGAGCAAGTGAGTTTTTAAGTAGGACTTTAAAGGACTAACTGTAAATATCTTCTTACAGAGAACCAAGAGCAATTGATGCCAAGGGGGGATGAGGTATAGTGGAAAGAATATGAGATTTGAAGTAAGAAGATCTGATTTTGAGTCCCACTTCTACCACTTACTAACTGTGTGCTCTTGGGCAAATTATAATCTCTGTGAGTCTCATTTCTCGTAACCTTGGAGATAAATTGCAAGGGATTAAGTAAGGAATAGGTAGGAGGCAAGGAAAAGGAGAAAAGTACAAACAACCCTTTCTAGAAGTTTAGCTGGAAAAAAAGTGATACTAGATGGGTTTTTTGATTTTGGTTTTTAAGGATAGAGGGGATATGTTCTTAGATAACAGAGAAGTAACCAACAAGAACATGTTGAAGATGAAGGCAAGAAAGAGAGAAAAGCTGGGGCAAGGAAAGCTTCTTCCGGAGCTGGATTTGGAGCAGGGAATGAGCCTAATAACAGCACAGATAGACGAAATGTCCTTTGCATAGGGGAAGGCTACTTTTTAAGAGATAGGAACAAAGGAGGTAGCAATGGGGATGGTATGAAGGGATTTTGACATGTTGGGCTGAAGAGAAATTGGAGGTCATAAGGAATAACTTTTTTTTCCTCATTAAAATAAAAGTTGAGCTCCTCTGCTGAGAAAGAAAGGGTGGTGGTGTAGGGCCATGAAGATGGTATGAGAGGGAAGGCTTGGAAGACCCACTATACAGAGAATATAATGAGCTAGTGAGGAAGAATAAAGGGATTGTTATGTTTTAGTGAGGACTGGATTGAAATTAGGTAATATACATTTATATGACACCCAGTCAGCTGAATTATTTTTCTTCCCAGTCTTCAGCAGCAGGAGAGTCACAGCTTAGAAAACAATGAAAATAACCTGAAATTGAGACTGGTGAGGTGTACATGGCAGTACAATAAAGGGAGAGTGATTTGAAAGTAGAAGATAGAATGTAGCTGAACCATAAAATCAAAATTATGAAGGGAAGGAAGTGAGGACAGGAATGTTGGACTGGGAGAAGATGTGAAGAACCTGGAGAGCCAGGATTCAAACTCAAGTCCTTTGACTCCCAAACTAGCAATCTTTTCACTATACACTTTCTCCCCAGGTACTAACCACATGGTAAGATGCCTCAGCCTCCTTCACATCTTCCACTATTTCTCCATCTGAAAAATTATCAGAGACTATACTTTAGCATCTGATAGATCAATAACTTGATATCATTCTTCAACATGAAGAGGAATTCTGTCACAATAGGTTTGGGAATAGAAACAAAGGATATGAAATATGGGGTACTAGGTCTAAAATGGTTAAGAATGAGAGATTTGAAGATTGGGGGGCTAGGGTAGAGGGAAGACAATAGGTTTGTAACTTTCAGTGGTCAATTCTGACTCACAGAGATAATGAGAGTAGGAGCTAGGAGTTTACCTGCCATAGCACAGAGGAAGAACCAAATGAATTGACCCTATTCTCCTGGGCTCTAAGATAACTGAGCAGGGAGTCATGACAGGGAAGGGTTATTAATTTTCTGGCCAGGTTTCTTGGGTCAGTAAACAGCTGATGTTCCATTTTCCCAGTGAAGGTGAACTCATTCTCTATGCCAATTGCATAGTACAATCCTAAAATAGTGGCATTTTTTGCATATAATCTCATGAAAAAGGCATACAAGGCATACTCAGAAAATACTCTTGAGTATGAAGCCTAACTCTTAATCTCTGAATCCTAGGAAGCACAGGTCCCCTTGTTCCTACCTTTAGTTTTCTGTAGTTTGGGCTCTATAATAGATTTGAATCCCCTTCAGAATATGGCGGTCTATCTGCAGTACAAGATATATATATACTGATGGTTTAGCTAAGAGGCGGAGAACCTAAGGCCTTGAGGCCACATGTGACCCTCTAGGTCCTCAAGCACAGCCCTTTGATTTGTTCTGTGAAATTTGGACTCAGTCAAAAGACCGCACCCATGGAAGACCTAGAAGGCCACATGTGGCCGCAGGTTTCCCACACATGATTTAGCTCAATGGTTTGACCATCCAACTCCGTAATAGGGTGGACCATAGTCATCCTTCACCTATTTTATTTGTTCTGTGGGGATTGTCAGGCCAGTCTCTCCAATAGCAATTTATCTCCTTGAGAACAAAGCTTTAGAGTGTCATTCCTTCAACAAGCTGACTGAATTAAGTGCTTACTATGTGCCAGGCTCTGCTAAGTGCTGAAGATTCAAAGAAAGACACAATCAGTCCCTGCCCCACAGGTATTTACATTCTAGTGGAGGAGACTAAATGCAGAAAACTCTCTCTATATGACATGTACAAAGTAAATTCCTCAGTAGGAAGACAAAAACATTAAGGGAAATAGCAAAGACCTTGCAGAAGGTGAGATTTTAAATGAGACTTCAGGGAAGCCAGAGGCAGATATGAGGAGGAAGAACATGGAGGACACTAGTGAAAATAATGAGTTGAGAGATGGAGTTGTATAAGGAGGAGAGAGGGTAGAGTACATAGAAGGAAGCAAAGTATAAAGAGATTGGAAAGGCAGGAAGCAGGGCTCGATTATAAGGGGCTATAAAAGCCAAATATTTGATCTTAGAAGTCAAAGGTAGCCACTAGAGTTTATTGAATAGGAAGATGACACGGTCAGACCTGCACTTCAGGGAAAACACTTTGGCAACCAAGTGGAGAATAGACTAGAGTGGGGAGAGACTTGAATAGGAAGACCAAAAAGAAAGCTATTCCAATAGTTTAAGCACAAAGTGATGAAGGTCCTACAATGACCTCGGGTGCTGTTTCCCCAGCTTAGCAAGAAGAGGAAGTGTTCACTCACCCTGGTGTTTTCTAGCCTCTTTTGGCCTCTTCATTTTACCTTTTATTTATGTTGTTTATCTTCTGTAGAAAATATGGTGATAGTCCATTTTGCGGTGGTTTCCTTTATCCATTCTTCCTTTTCTTAGTGTCAGTATGGATATTGATAATAACTGGTGCTTATATACCCATATATTGAACTTGAAGGTTTGTAAAGCAATACACACACACATACACATGCGCACACACGTACATATGTATGTCTGTTCTCATTTCAGTGGCTTTTTCTCAGTCTGAATGTGTTTTTAATTTCAGGTTATGGCTTTGTGGATTTTGACAGTCCAGCTGCTGCCCAGAAAGCAGTCTCAGCTCTAAAGGCTACTGGAGTTCAAGCCCAGATGGCAAAGGTAAGCAATAAACTAGGAATGGTTTTTCTGGTGTTTAGTTGTGTTTTATAGGCATCTTGCCCTCTCAATCAGCCATCCCAATAAGACCGATAATAGGATGACATTGCATCTATAGAAGGCAGTTAGACAAATTACTTTGCTAGTATTGAATCCAGCTATGTATTTTAAAAGGCATTTTTGGCATGCTGTCCTTCATCTTTGTCCCGTGTCTCCATATGCCTACCAGTAGCTATCGTGTCTGTGAAAATTATATTCCCTAAAATATAATTTCCCAAAGAAGCAAAAAATTTCTTTAAAATTTGTAAATTATATTCAGTAAAGTATGAAGTTTTATAAACAAATCAAGATATAGGAGGGAGTTGACAGCCACATTTCTTCATGTAGCAGAATATTTGCTTTTAAACTCCAAAGAGGCTGTTAGTTTTTTAAATGAGTGCTGTTGTAGTAAAATTCAACCCTACTGCAGTAAGACAGTAGTTTGCAGAGCCTACCCCTGTTTCAAATAAATAACAGAAAAATACTAAATAAAAGACACGTGTACTATATGCATATGAAGTCAGATCTAAAAGCAAATTTAAGTTGTAAAATCCTTTCTCACGAATTGTTAGACACATATTGATTAAGTACTGAGGTATACACATTTAGTGCTAGATGATAGTGAGACAATGGATCTTGTTTCAACCCAGTTTTCTTAGCTCTTTGTAGCTTTTCAGATGAAAAGCAATTGAACTACCCAGAATGCCACAGGATGTAGCCAGGACTACAAAATGGAAGCCATATGTTTAATACTTAGTGTACATTTCAGCATAACAAATGTGAATGCACATATTTTCTGTAAAATGCAAGATGTCTCTCTTTCAGTGTTTACTTGTTTTATGTCAGTTAACTTTACACACGCACGCACGCATGCACGCACATACATTTTATCTATAATATCTCACTGTGATTGGACTCAAATGAGCTTGACCAACTAAGGAAGATTATTTTTTTTTTCAGATAAATTCATTGTGTTTCCTTTAAAAGCAAAACAACAAAAATATTTTTTTTTAAACTGCCTGTGTCCAAGTCAGGCCTTTTGGAGTGTATATTCCCCCTTGCAGTCTATTAAAATGCTGACCATTTCAGTGCCTAATGGTACCATAATGGCTTAATTTTGTGCATCTTTGGAATTGATCTGATCCACTACCTTATCTGATCCATTATTTATCAAAAAACCACAGATCCTAAATCTGTGGCAATGAGAGGCTTAGTACAATGAGCTATTAAAGCTTAAAACTACACTAAGGCTTTTGATACACCCTGCATATTCTGGCCTTGGGATCAGGAAGATGTGTATTTGAACTTTGTATCTTACACTTAACTAGTTATGTTACCATAGGTAGGTTGATGAAAAACTCTAAACCTCAGTTTCATCATCTATAATATAGCAATAACAAAAATCTGTGTTAGTTAATTACTTCATTGAGGTTGTAAGGCTCACATAAAATAATGTATATAAAACACTTTGCAAATTTAAAAATGCTGTATAAAACTAATTATGATCAAAGCTACAAGACACCTCAAGATCACTTGATCCACATTATCATACCGGTAGGGCATTATTCTTTTTTATTTTTTTCTCAGATAAGGAAAGGTTACTTAAGCCTATATGATTTGCCAATGAGTTTATTCATTTCTTACTATCAATAAATGTGGAAGTTTCTTAGTAAATATTTGTTGATAGAGTGACCCAAACTTGTTGTTTTATTTCTCATTCCTGTACCTTGTTGCAAATACAGAATCCTGGAATATCTTAACAGTTTGTGTTAGCAGTGAGGTTGTTAAGAAATTTGTCTAATTACAAAGATTTTTTTCACCTATGATTTTATAATTGCTCAAGAATATTTTCAAAACTGAAAATCAACTTTACATTTAGAAAATATGTTTTCTTAGTTCATTTTTTAAAAATCTGGCTTCTTGAAATAGAAGAAAAATTAACTTACTTCCTGCTACTTCTTAATCTAATTCAACAATCACTTTAAAAGCACTTATTTTTGTAGAATATATCACAATTCTAGGTACAGGGAACCTAAAGATGAGTTATGATACAGCCTTTATTTTTGTGGAGTTTACAGTATACTAGAGGAAAATTACACACACATATAACTATGATACTAGCCAGAATATAAGTGCTAAAGATAGGTAGGTCTGAAGTGCTGTGAGATTTGAGAGCATCCTTACCTGGTCAAGGAATTGCCAGGAAAGCTTTATGGAGGAAGGAAAAGCCGAGTTGGGCCTTGGAAAAGGAGAGAGGAATCCCCAGCAGAGAAATACGGCAACAGAATTCATCCCAAAATGAAGGAAGGAAGGAATAAAGGCACTGACAGAGAAGAGGGCAGGATGAGACCAGAAAATGAAACATGTGTTTTTGTTGGTGTTGTTGGGGTTTTTTGTTTGTTTGTTTGTTTTTTGACTAAAATGTAGACTGTGTGAGGCTGACTCATATGAAATTGGCCTAGCAAAGTAGATTGCACTTAAGGATCTTCAATCTAAAAACTTTTATTCAGTAGGCAATGGGAAGGCAGTGGAGATTTTTGAGTAGGGAGCTGATGTGATCAGAGCAGATTATTTGGGCAGCTGTGTGAAAGAAGGATGGGAGAGAAAATAAACTGGAGACAAAAACAATGACTAAGGAAAGCTGTTATAGTTGTCAAATTGAAAAGAAGTGTATACTTTAAAAGAAAAATCTAGACTGATGGCAGTAAGAGTGTAAAGGAAGGACATATATGCAAGAGGTATTAAAAAGATTTGTGAAGTGTTATGCTCTCTGGATTTGCAATCAGAGAACCTGAGTCCTCTGCCTCTTGCTAGCTATGACTTTGGACAAGTCTCTTGTCGTCTCTGAGCCTCAGTGTCCTCATCTATAAAATGAGAAGGTTAAACTAAATACACCTCTAGGGTCCCTTTAAGTTTTCACTTGTTCGATGATTAGCTGTGTGTGCCGAAAGATTTATTAGTGGGTTTGGGGGTGGAGATTGAGCATATTTGTAGACTGAAAGGAAGGAGCCGTTGGAGAGAGAAATTGAAGATTTCTAAAAGAGAAAATGAGTGATGAAGTGTAAGGTTAATGGAGAGCAGATAGGAGGGGATATGGGATCATAAATGCAGGTTTAACTGTGCCGGGGAAAGAAGGCCAAATACTCTGAGACTAGAGAGAAGAATGAGAAGATGTGTGGGAACACCGCGAGATTTAAAGAAAGTTCGAAGGCATTCCTCTAAGCCTTCATCTTTTCAGTAAAGTAAGAAATAAGATCGCCAGCTGAGAGAGATAGGGAGGGAAAGGAGGAGTTGAGGGCTTGGGGTGAAGACAGAAGGTGGAGTGTAATGAGCATTTATGTAATGCTTACTACGTGCCAGGCACTGTACTAAGTGCTTTGCAAGAATTATCTCATTTAATCCTCACAACAACCCTGGGATGTAGTTGCTATTATTATCCCCATTTTACAGATGAGGAAACTGAAGTATAATGATTGTCCAGGATCCCTCAGCTAGTGTTTGAGGCCAAATTTTAACTCAGTCTTCCTGTCACCTGACTCAGTGTTTGATCCACACTACCTCCTAGCTCCCTTGAAAGAGGAGTGGGTTTGTGAAAATTGTAGGGGATTTATGTAACAATAAATTATGGCTAAAAAAATATTGCCACGAGGCATAGAGAGCCCATCTGAAGTTAAATAACTGAAAGTTGTAGTAGACCTAGTGAGAGCATGCTTTCATTTGTCATTTGTTTAGAAGTAGAAATGGAAGAAAGTAGGTTTGTAGTACTTGCTCAAGATTAACAAGCAGAGCAGGAATGGTAAAAACATTAAGGGGAGGGGAATTCAAAGGTAGAAGACAGGGCATTATTGAAGTAATGAAATATAGTCATGACTTTATGCAGTCCTTCAATGGAAAATCACTCCACTGAATGAATAGATGAACAGAATAGTTTGTCAAAATCCAGGGACTCCATGTTAAAGAGACAAGTTATCTGGAAAGGCCTTAAGACAACAGATAACTACTGTAGCAAGCTCTAGGAGAGAGAGAGAGAGAGAGAGAAGGGGGATGGAGAGAGAGAAAGTGTGTGTGTGTGTGTGTGTGTGTGTGTGTGTGTGTGTGTGTGTGTGTGTTTTATTTACCCTATTAAGGGATAGGCAGTGTTACAGAAAAGTAGCCCATGACTTCTTGCTTTTTAAATGCTTTTTAGTCACAAAGTAAGTGGCAGCATGGGAACTGGAGCCTAGGATTGGGCTACCTTCACTTTGGTTCATTTTTAACTTCTCGGAAGGAAATGTCTATTTTAACTTGACAAACAATGAAAACTTTGAGAGCTGAGTAATAAGATTTTGTAGACTATTTTTTCCCCCATGAGATAGAACAATTTTCTTGGTGGCATTTTTGAAAGAAAATGGTTTCTAAGATTTAAATCTTATTGTGATTATGTAATACCTAGTTTTCAAAGTGTTTTTAAAATATATATATTTTAGTATCTGAGTTGTTTGGTGACAGTGTTATAAATATTAGCTCTCAAAGGTATATTTAGAAAGGAGTGACATCATATATCTTCTCAATAATGTATTTTGAATGTTTTCTTTCCCATGGGTTGACATGAGAACTGTCAAAGATCTATTTAAGAGGCTGATGCTGTAAAATGACTAAGAAATAATGGTTTCTACCCATATCCTTTTTGTATAGTTACTATACTATGTGTTCATTGATAGACTGGCAATTGCCAGGATTTTAAAAATTACAAACCTCCTCAGATCACCATAGCCTGGATAAAAATGAAGTTTCTTGGAAATGACTTTAAAGACATTCATTATTAAAATATCAAAGATATTTTAAATGCTAGAAGAGAATGGCTTGGAGGTTGGGGGGAGGGTATGTGTTAAACTGCCTAGACTCCCTGGAGCCACAGGTATTTGAATATCAGTCAAGTTGACTCAGCCTTTTCATATTGCTCAGGGAAACAAAATTATCACCAT